ACTCTCCAACTACGGTCTCTTCGCTGCATAAGTTCACTTCACTTCATAGATGAATGGGGTTTTTTTCACCCTGAAGATGGGCCATGCCCGAAAATAATTTGGTGCATTCCATTTATATCTAATATTATTTATTTATTTTGGAAGTGAAGTGAACTTAGGGGCCGTCCGTAAATATCGATGTTTTTTTAGAGACGATATTGGTGCTTCTCTCCCTTGACCCCCCTCCCTCCCCCCAGAAGACGCACATGTACATCTAGATCATGGAATCAATATTTTTGGATGCTCATGAAGTGCCCAGGAATGGATGTTGAGGGTCCGGTGTAGGCGTGAAAATCCCGCCGCACTCACGCAATAGCTGCATCGCCTGGCCTGGGATGGGGGGAGCGAACCGGGTTGGCGCTGCAGTGCTCACAGACATCGTGTACTACTGGTGTAGCCAAAGCGGCTACGCTCGGGCTTGAATTTTTTCAAATCCTTGTTCAGACAGTGAAGACTGGAAACTCTTGTGGAGTTCGTCCGTGTTTGTTCGCACTGCCTCTACGTCTTGAAAAAGGTCTCCTGCAGGCATCGTTCGGCCGATTTCCACAATCAATAGCTCATTCTTTTGCTCTTGAAATTCGCCATGGGCGTACAGCTTCCAATTTTTGATTTTGTTCCTGTGTCGCGAGTTTTAGCTCCGCGAACGGAAGCTGGTTTCACATTTCTTGTATAGCCATTTAGACGTCCGCGTGCAGGGATCGGCGAAACTTCAGATATTTACATCGATATTTTTCTGATGCTCGAAAAGACGCACATGGCTCAAACCCCCTCCCCCCCAGACGCACCAATATCGTCTCTAAAAAAACATCGATATTTACGGACGGCCCCTTATGCAGCGAAGAGACCGTAGTTGGAGAGTTTGAAGTGAGGTACCCTGTAATGACTTGTGTGAATGGCTGCAATGGAGTCTGCGAGTGCTTAGAAAAGTTTACATGTACATTATTACGAAGTAGTGGTGGCGACTTAGGCGATGACTTGTAAGAAAGGGTTTGCTCCCCACACCGGAGCTCGCGCTATTCCGCCGACTTTACTTGACACTTGACTGACTCATGTTATCTAAACCTTCCCAGGCACTCAGTCATGCACCCCGTGCACACCGTCACACAAAAGATCACAGCCTTTTCAGATAAGGAACAAATTATGCATGGTTGAAAAGGAGAGAGAAAATGAGAGAGACGCGAGAGAGAACTGGCTGCGCCAAGAAGAGCGAATGCAAAACCGCTGTCCCTGGCAAAACGTGCGCGTACAAGTGCAGCACAAACGAGACCAGCGTACTACACGCAACAAATAAGGGTAGCGGGACGCAACCTAAAACGATACCAGTCTCCCCAGAAAGGTGCGCTGCTGCGCACAGCCCGCGTATCCATGGAAAACATGGTGCAAAACAAATGCAGAAATGCAGAAGCAAAATAAATAAATAAATCAGAAATTCGAACGACAAACAGTAGTGAGCAGGACGAAGACAGAAAGATCAAAGATGAGGAAAGAAAAGTGTTTGATCTGTCAGTGGGTGCTTGCACCCGATACGGGGTGACAGTAAACCCTGTCAGATAGTGACACGTCGTAGAGTTATTCTGCAGAGGGACTTCACTGAGCAAGAATATAACAAACCACGTAAGTAACTCTAGCAAATCGTGAATAATAATTGTAAATGCATACACAATGTTATCATAAGTATTCGAACACCATAGTTCCCTTTCACCCCTCCACCTGATAACATTGGATGGGGCATACATGTAATGACATACAGCAGGGAAGACAGATGCCTAGCGATAGCGAGCAGGGGGCTGCAGAGAACCACGGGGACGTAATGAATGACCACCAACCAGATGATCAGATGGGGGGGAAATGTCCAAGCAAACCCAACCATCATCATCACCATCATCACGAGGACCATCTACGCGAACATCGCCAACATCAGGCGGGGGCACTAGAGGAGCACATGGCACATCAGGAACAACCAAACCAACATCACGCTTCAAGAGCTCGACATTGACCACCTTTTCCTGACGACGACCTGACTCAGGATGCACACGGCAAATCACAACACTGGCAGGACCAATAACATGTTTAATTGACCAACCAGAATCGAACGGGGGCTGACGTTTCTGGCGACGATCAGGGTTACGCAATAGAACACGATCACCAACAACATACGGACAAGAAGGCGACTCAACAACAGGCGCAGGGGCGTGCTCTGCAACAACCGCCGTCAAATAGTCGTGAACCCGAGCAGCCTTATCACACACACCATCAACCCAAAGAGAGGACGAAAGAGTAGATGGTATACCGTCCACAAATAGAGCACGAGGCTCCCAGCCAAACATAGCACGCATGGGAGAAATCTTCAATTCACTATGCGGACGAGTACGGTAGAAGAAGAGGGGAATCTCTAGCTCGGCTAGCCAATCGGCAGCAGTATCCAACACCTTGCGAATAAGAGTGAGAATAGTACGATTGAATCTCTCGGCGCCACCCTGTGACTGAGGGTGACGGACCGCACCAGTACGAACGCAAACACCAAACACATCCAACAAAGAAGACACAATAGCATTGCGGAACTCATGACCATTGTCGCAACGCACCACACGCGGCGGACCAAACTTCAAACAGAGACGCAGAAATTCCTCTGCAACAGAGCGACCATCATGACGCCGCAAGGGTACCACCTCGACCCAACGGGAAAACATATCGACAACCACTAACACACAATGGTACTGACCGGTCTGGTTGACACCGAGCTCCAGTGTATCGATCTGGACAATGTCCCACGGCTTGACAGGAACGTCATTCTGAACAGCAGGAGCTGGTGGACCACTGCGGGGATTGGCAGCCTGGCAGGCCTGACAATTACGCACATAGGCCTGGCATAGCGAAGACATACCTGGAAAGAAACAAGACTGACACAGAGAACGCCACATAGTTTCCCAATTGCCATGACCTGTATTGGCATGAGCAGCAGTAATCAAAGCGGGAACGGTGGATTGCGGTGCAACAGGAACCAGTACCTCACCGTCGACGGGGTCACGCCAAGTGCGACACAATAGACCATCAATAACACACAACTGCTTACGAAACTTGCAGAACGACGGATCAGAAACAGAGACGTCACGAGACAAATCGCGAATAACGCTCTGGATAGCATCATCAGTAGCTTGACCAGACTTCAACACGTCAAACTCCAATGGATGTGAAAGTGTAGAAGAGGGGGCAGAAGCAGCGACATCAGCAGAAGAACACAACTTCTTAGCATGAGCAACCCACGGCTGCGGAACACGAGTCAGTACATCAGCATGATTCTCAGAACTTGGCACCCATTCCACTGTGACCGAAATACCGGATGCCTCAATCAAATCTGTAAAGATCTGCAGACGACGTTGAACCAAGACATGTTGCAAACCACTAACTCGCACCCGTTCAGTATTGCGCAACACAGCCTGGAGCCAACCAAAGACAGTCTTAGAGTCTGTCTTGAGCACAACAGAAGAGACATTCCAATCAATAGCCAGCTCGAGGCCTTTCAAGGCAGCATTCAACTCAGCAAGATTGATATGACGCCGGTCGTCCTTTGGCCGGAGCCAAGAACGATCTTCCAGGACAGAACCATCACACTCCAAAACAACACCAATAGCAACATCAGAGGCATCGCAATGAACAACAAAACCAGAACCAGTAGAGGAAGAATGCCACGTACCATGAGCAGGATCCTCTCGCACACAGCGATCGGACAGTTCCTGGAGGAACCGCTGTACTTCAGGAGAGACAGGCTTATCCCATGCGGACTGGCCAGACACGAGGCGCTTCAAGAAGCTGCAGGCCGGACGAAGCCAACAGCAGACGGGATAATGGCTGAGCGCCCGACCGCACCAACTGAAGAGTTCCCGCTTCGTAGTCGTGGGTGGAACAGACAGATCAACACCCTGACGACGGGTCCACAAGACTTCACCCGTGGCGCTAGAATGGAGCTGCAAGCCCAGAACACGGGCATCAGGCAATGGCTCTGCAGGCTTGGTCTCAAAACCAAACGCAGCAAGCTGAGAGGACACTTCGGCAGCACGGTCACGCGGCACGTGGATATCATCCACGTAGTTGTCGGCATCGACCACGTCACGCAAGACCCACTTCACTATGATGTCTAGGAACTTGGGGGCAATGGATAGACCGAACGCCATCCGTTCCATCACGTAACGCTGGCCGTCGACGAGGACAACCTGGTATGGCAGCAATGATGGTGCGACATGGACCTGTAAGTAGGCCTTGCGAATGTCCAGGAGAACGTACTCAGATGCAGGTCCAGCCTGCCGCCACTTCCGTAATTTCTCACCACAGGCAGGTGCTTCTGAGCCAGGATGTGAGATGATGCAGGCATTCAGCCTGCGATAGTCCAAGCAAGGGCG